TTCCTTTTTTTTTTTTTTTAAATTTCAATCCAAATATTTTACACAATCAAAGTTTACTGACAGAAATTTTGTAAGAATATTTCTGGAATGTAACGAGTGGAATAAATCTTTATGAGTTGTTATAATTTTTATCATTTTGAAAATACTGTCCCATTCATTTCTTGAACAGTCACCTAAAACTGGGCCAAGCCATGAACTAAAAGCTCAAACCCAGGACGGCTTAGGCAGAACTGTGAGCCCTGACGGATTAATGTACGTCAGTGTTGTCATCGACCCACAAACGAACAGACCAGGGGTGCACCAGACTAAAACAAGACCTGATCGCCCGCGAACAAACTATACTGAGATAGACTTTGAGGCAACGGCTAGACACAAGAACAAAACTATACTGAGATAGACTTTGAGGCAACTGCTAGACACAAGAACAAACTATACTGACATAGACTTTGAGGCAACTGCTAGACACAAGAACAAAACTATACTGAGATAGACTTTGAGGCAACTGCTAGACACAAGAACAAAACTATACTGAGATAGACTTTGAGGCAACTGCTAGACCACAAGAACAAACTATACTGAGATAGACTTTGAGGCAACTGCTAGACACAAGAACAAAACTATACTGAGATAGACTTTGAGGCAACTGCTAGACACAAGAACAAAACTATACTGAGATAGACTTTGAGGCAACTGCTAGACACAAGAACAAACTATACTGTGATAGACTTTGTGGCAACTGCTAGACACAAGAACAAACTATACTGAGATATTCTTTGAGGCAACTACTAGACACAAGAACAAACTCTACTGAGATAGACTTTGAGGCAACTGCTAGAGCCAAGAACGCGTCGAAGAAAAAACATATAATCCTCTAATGGATGGAAAATGATTTTTTAAATTACTTTTTTCTTAATTAACTTTATAAATATTTGACTAGTTTTATTTTTTTGTTTTAAATAATAATAATACTAGTTCGTGTTAAAATGTAAATGAGAGACCAAAATTAAATTGTAAATTAAAAGTAAGGATTTTCTTTACACGTTTAATTTCCGATCACTTTACCTTTGAAGGTTTTTGATTTTTTAATTCCATCTGTTGCTACTTTTAACGGGATCCAATAAAAAATATCAAGAATGGAGTACCATTTTTTCCAGTTTATTTTTGAAAATGAATGAATCTGTGGATGTGAATGCATGTGACGAACGAACTTTGCAATGCAGTGGGAAAAAACCCTACTTTGAAGAAATAATTTATGACTAACGTTATACAACTAATAAAATTCACTGTGTACATGAGATTATATACGGAGCTTTCTTTCATTGGATCGTTCATTTGTCAGCCATTGTAAATCGACACATTAAAAGATACCTTATAATTTTGTTGGTTAGTTTTCCAGAAACTGTTCTAAATCTTGTTTTGAAATGACTTTTTACTCAATTTCTTTTAAAGAAAACGTATTTAGTGTCATTCTTGTGTTTTAAAAAGATGTGGGGATATGTGCAACAAAGTTTATTGTTCTGAGGTACGGGGGAACTTGTATCAAGCCACAGTTCATCAATTGAAATAAGTTTGTCTTTTTCTACCCTTTCAATGGAGGCGGTCCATCACATCCTTCTTTACTTAATTAGGTCTTAGTTGAAATTTTTTTTTAAAGAGAATGGAAACAAAAAAAAATTGAAGAGTTAAACTTTTTAAAAATTATTTCTTTTTATAGCTTCATTTTTCTTATTTCAATTCAAACATAATTCCTCTCAAACAAAATTGTATTGTGAAATTATTTTTAAAAAGGTCGTTTTGTGCTTCATTTAGACACGGAAGGGAATTACTTGAAAATTAACAGTGCGGTACCTACACACCATTCATTTTTTCAGGATCTTTTTTTTTCTGATATAAGGTACCATTAAGGTTAAATTATTACCTTTTTTATTCTCAACATCGCAAAAAGCGTTTTTATTCGAACTTAACAATATTCATACAGACAAACTACACAAAAATTAAACTTGAGTCGTGCCTACTTTGAATGAGACTCTCTCATCCAATGAAATCATAAGCAGTTTTCAACAATGTTGGAAAGTAATGTGTTTCGTGTTTAATAAATATGATCCCACTTATAACAGCAAACTTTATGGGGGTACGTAAACATTTTTGTAAAACATCGTAGCTTTCCCGTGGTAGCCACCTACTTTTACCAATTAGGGTTTGTTCCAAAACCATGTTTGTTATTTCTATACTCGATTCCAGGAAGTTAAATACAGTCAATTAAAATAGATGCAATAATAATATAGTTTTGAAGACAAAATTTACACGTCTACTCTTGGTTATTTCTTTCCTATCAATTCACGGCGACGTCATCCGATCCATGTTTACTTAGCCTTAACCATGACAACAACAAATTATGATATAAAGGCGAAAACGATATGCTAGAAGACATAATTAGCCTAGGTCTTTATGTATATTATAGTAAATTCATTTCTTTTCTTTTTTTTTTTTTTGGCTGCTGTAAGTGTTTGCAGTCTTTTAAATTGATTTAACTTTATAAAAGCCTCTAAGGAATACACCCCCTTAAAAAATATTTCATAGATCGCATTTTAAGCCTGAGCCCCGTGGAGTTATAAAGGCGAAAACGATATGCTAGAAGACATAATTAGCCTAGGTCTTTATGTATATTATAGTAAATTCATTTCTTTTCTTTTTTTTTTTTTTTGGCTGCTGTAAGTGTGTGCAGTCTTTTAAATTGATTTAACTTTATAAAAGCCTCTAAGGAATACACCCCATTAAAAAATATTTCATAGATCGCATTTTAAGCCTGAGCCCCGTGGAGTTGCCAGGATTTCTGCTGTCCGGGCGGTTCAAGGTGCTAATCCACCCCGCTTCCACGAAAAAAACAACAAAAACCAAACTCTGCCGTTGTTCGAAAATGCCGCTCCACAATATAAAAAGTGCCCCCTAGGGGGCTGAAGACCCCTAAGCACCCCCCTTCTTACGGCTCTGCTTAAGCCATCTTTGTGTACTTGGATTTATTAATTACATACACGTGAATAAGATGAAATTGCGCTGCTTGGACAATGAGAAATGATTTCTGTATTTTAAAATAGAGAAATTTGAAATTGATATGAAATGAAACTAATATGATTTTGATAAATGGAAATGTATGGATGTATGATAATTTAATTCTATTTATTTTCCTTTTTGGGGGGGGGGGGGGGGAGGGGTGAAACTACACAACAAAAATCATATACCAATCAAACATTAAGAAAGTAGTAGCATGAATCGTCAAAATTAGCTATTTATTTTAGAGCCTAATACTCATTTGTACATAGAGAATATTCTTCTTGCTGTATTCTTAGATTCTATAACATTGCAGCTAAGTGTTATTTCTTTTTCATGTTTTTTTTTTACTGTTGTTTTTTCGCTAAAGAAGGCTTCTTGCCGACACGTTCTCTTCTCTTCTTTTCTTTTTTTTTTTTTTTTTTTTATGTTTTTTTTTTTTGTTTTTCCATACTTTTTTTCTCTTTTTTTTTTTNGTTATTTCTTTTTCATGTTTTTTTTTTACTGTTGTTTTTTCGCTAAAGAAGGCTTCTTGCCGACACGTTCTCTTCTCTTCTTTTCTTTTTTTTTTTTTGTAACGTTCTATTCTTATGTTTTTCCATACTTTTTTTCGCTCATTTTCTTTCACCTAACCTGATTGCTCTCTCTCTCTCTCTCTCTCTCTCTCCCTCTCTCTCCCTCTCTCTCCCTTTTTATTACCTACCTACGATATTTAGCTACCATTAATGTTTCTGAGCAAAGTATGATGCTTGTTAATAAGCTTGTTCTGATTGGAAAAGATGGGATTGGCGTGTAGCCTTTTATCTAGCGTGAAGCGATTTATCTCAAAGTCGAGATGATAATTAATCATGATTATAATTATTAATGCACGCCCTGCCCCGGTTGCGTAACACACCGCCAGAATCTCACTGAGCTGACCTGTTGACCTAGGGTGACAGATTGACAGTTGTTTTGGCGCGATTCGTCTCAACACGTGGCTTTCACTTCCCAGCCTTGGCTGGAATCTGGAATGTTGCTGTGTTTTGTTTACTGTAAATTTTGCAACGTCCTACTGTATTTTGTTTTTTCTTTTTGAATGTGGGTCAAGGTCCTTTCTGTGCAGTGTACTTTCACTAGATTAGTTAACACATGTGTGGCTGGAATGATAACAGTGTTTTTGGAAAGTGTGTGTTAACAAAACAAACTGCGCCTAGGAATGTGTTGAATTTAAACTAGCGATGACCATGTGAAGATCTGTGATTACAACGTAGCTGAATTTTCAGGGCTTATTGTTTTACAGCTTCTCCAAGGTATTTGCAACACATCCATCCTCAGTCGTCTGTATTTGCAACATTTCTATTTCGAGCCGTCAGTATTTGCAACACATCCATCCTCAGTCGTCGGTATTAGCAACATATCCATTCCCAGCCGTCAGTATTTGCAACACATCCATCCTCAGCCGTCGGTATTAGCAACATATCCCTCCGCAACCGTCTGGCTTTTATGTCAACAAACGCTGCGCCGTAGTCACAACATAGCTGCTACTTGTGAATCGAATCATTGCAATTAAGTTTGACACAGGAATCGGTTTATTACGACTCCGTGTTTAGACAACTTTTCATGAACATTTGGGAAATGTGACGCTGTTAAGGATTTGTTCGTATTTTGTGGGTGCGTGTTTCGTGCTGAGAGAATATGTGTACCTGTTGCTATGTGCTTATTATTTTGTGACGTCTTTCGGTGTTATGGTTTTTAAGCAGTAGAAATGGAGTTGTTGTAATGGCGTTGTTGGTAATGGAGTGGTAGTAAGGGAGTTGCAGAGTGAGAGCGGTTCGAAAGAAGACATGCTGGTTTTTTTTTTTTAATAAAGAGACATATTATGCCATAAGCATCATTGGTTTGTTAAATAATTGAAATACCCCTTAGGCGTAACGAAGGCGTTGAAATACTACCCCAGTTCGTAACAGACGTTATTCGAGTATCTAGTTTTATCCCGAGTCTGGGATGCATGTTAAAAGATTCACATCGCAACCTAACGCTAGAAATGTAAACAATCACGCAAGTGTCCTCGAATACAGATACGTCTAGCAATGACGTGGCTGTCAAAATATGGACAGCACAGCCAACGGACAACACGGGCTGCGAGGCTTGTTGGTCGCAACTTGAGTCGTCGACTCGAGAATTGATTTCACACTCCGCGACCAGTGCTGTGACGGTAGAGGCATTTGCTACTTTAACTCGCCATAACTGACCAGCACTGTGTAGGACTTACCAATGACGTGCTGAGTGAAGCCACTAAGATAAGGTAAGAAAGTAGTAGACATTTTTGTTAAATTTGTAGCGTTTTATAGGGGAATGTTTTGTAAGTATGTGAGGTTACATTCTCTCTCAAGTGTGGACTACAGTTTTGAATGAGAATGCTGAGACTTGGGGGGGGGGGGGGGTGAGGGGGGTAGGTAAAGACAGTTGCTGCATTAACTCGCCATAACTGACCAGCACTGTGTAGGACTTACCAATGACGTGCTGGGTGAAGTCACTAAGGTAAGCAAGTAGTAGCCTTTAAGGTTAGCAAGTAGCAGCCTTCAAGGTAAGCAAGTAGTAGCCTTTAAGGTAAGCAAGTAGTAGCCTTTAAGGTAAGCAAGTAGTAGTCTTTAAGATAAGCAAGTAGTAGTCTTTAAGGTAAGCAAGTAGTTGTCTTTAAGGTAAGCAAGTAGTAGCCTTTAAGGTAAGCAAGTAGTAGTCTTTAAGGTAAGCAAGTAGTAGCCTTTAAGGTAAGTAAGTAGTAGCCTTTAAGGTAAGCAAGTAGTAGCCTTAAAAGGTAGGCAAGTAGTAGCCTTTAAGGTAAGCAAGTAGTAGCCTTAAAAGGTAAGCAAGTAGTAGCCTTTAAGGTAAGCAAGTAGTAGACACTTTGTTACATTTTTAACGCTTTTCCAAATGTAAGGTTTTATTTGGAAATTTGAGGTAAACTTCTCCCTCAAAGTTGGATTATGATGAGTTGATGGGGAATGCTGAAACTTGATGGGGTATGCTGAAACTTGATGGGGAATGCTGAAACTTGATGGGGAATGCTGAAACTTGATGGGGAATGCTGAAACTTGATGGGGAATGTTGAAACTTGATGGGGAATGCTGAAACTTGATGGGGAATGCTGAAACTTGATGAGGAATGCTGAAACTTGATGGGGAATGCTGAAACTTGATGGGGTATGCTGATACTTGATGGGGAATGCTGATACTTGATGGAAAATGCTGAAACTTGATGGGGAATGCTGAAACTTTATGCGGAATGCTGATACTTTTTTTTTTACTACTAATGCTCAGTTCCCACGATCAAATTTTCGTCAAATTTTTTAATGAACGCATTATTTTTACACGCAAAAATAGAAGGGAAGGGATGTTATGTCAGGTTTTTGTTGGGGGAAGGGGGGGGGGAGCAAAATCCAAAACTTGGTCGGCTTAAGTTGTTAAGTTGTTTATTACTGGAGGCGCCCCAGTACGTCACAATTTGAAATATAATCCTGTAAATTCAGGGGGGGGGGCAAAAGCCCTACCCTGCGCTACCCTAATGACGTCCCTGAAAAAAAAAAATAGTATGTTCATTCAAAAATGTGACGAAAATTTATCTGGTGACTGATGACTTGCGCGGGTGACTTTTGTTTAAAGTGAGGAAGAGTTGCGCAGCGTCAACCTCACTCTCTCGTCCGAGCCCACCATATCCAGTGGCAAGACTCTACGTCAAGACGACCAGGGATGGGTACGGTTGCAGGAATGGACATTGTATGCGCCTTACGGGACTCCAACTCCGGGTTTGAATTCAGAGTTTCCTTCTCTTAGATGAGTTGCCGACCAAGGTTAACGAGTCTCATCCACCCGGTGCGGTAAACTCATGGTGTCACCCCCTCCCCACATCCCGAAGGATTTCTTTTTTTTAAAATAAGTCCACAGTATAAAAATAACAAGGACAAAATAAATAAATAAATTGAAGTTCAGGAGATAAATGTATTTAAGAACTATAACAACGTTAATTTATAGTTATAAAAAGTTTTGGCCTTCGATAAAGCTTTAAAATAGATTAATTAGACACCAACAATTTGTGTCAATATAACAATATAAGGTAAGCTTTAATAATAATGTTAGGTAGGATATCAGTATATACATATATTATGTAAATTTAATTTATACTTATTTAATTGTCTTTTTGTTGTACTGATGAAGGCATGTGCCGAAACGTATACTTTTGTATTCTGTAACATTATTATTAAAGCTTACCTTATTTTGTTATATTGCCACACATTGTTGGTGTCTAATTAATATAATGTATAGTTATTTTTACATTAAAATTACTTTACTATTAAAAGATATTTGAAAAATATTATTTTTTTTGTTAACCCTATACATGGGTAAAGAGTTCTATTTTTTTTAAAATGTTTCTAATTTTTGCCAATTCCATTCATGCACTTAGAATCGCTCGACCACATCGCAATTTGGTATCAATGGAAGTGCCTTATTTCTAAGAATTTCTCTGACCTAAGTAATAATAATAATAATAAATAATAAAGTTCATTTCAAAAACACGCTTCATCCCCAAAGGCTCGAAGCGCGGTACAAAGTCAACAAAAAACAAATCTATAATTTACCACATTTAAAACAAACGCAACACTACAAAAACTAATTACAAGCATACAATGTCAAAGTCTTTCTAGCCATTTCAACCATACGCAACACAGCCATTATGCATTAACTGGAAAATAAGGTTGACAATCATCTATAATAGTGTATAGAAATAAAGTGAGTGACCAATTGGGGAATGAAACTTATTTTGATTCACCTAGAACCGTCCAGGAGAGATTACCTAATGGTATGGTGCACAAATTAATAGTGTTAAGCGGGCCATCACAACATACGGCCCGCGATTCACATGCGGCCCGCCAGCATCCACTTTGCGACCCGTGAAGTAACTAAATATTCTTTATTCTTATTATTTTCTTAATAGCTTTCCTCGGTCCTATTTTCGTTTGGCCCGCATAGGCTTTTCATAAAGTATTACGGCCCGCCTTACATTTTGAGTTGAGCAGGCCTGGTGTACAATTTCTAACTTTGGTATGTCAGATAGGGCAGATGCCCTGCGCTCCACTAGAAAGGCTTCCTAATTATGCACTAAAAAGTCTTTAAACGTAGCCCCAAAATTGAGCAAAGGCTAATCCAAATTATATATTATTTTCTTCGGATTTTATGAGACAAACGGGGCCAAAGTGCGGTTTTCAGAAAAATTTTAAAAGTCAGTTAGTGGGTAATGCACAACCATAATGGTGTAAATCGTAGCAATCTGACACAGTACCAAAGAATCCCGATTAAAATTGCCCCTGGGAAATTCCGAGCCTGCCAGCTTGGTTCCATTTCAAAATAGGGATTAGTCAAAAAGGCATTTACTGCGGAAAACAAAAATCAAAATTCATTCTCCCTTCAATAGCATCTTCCTTCGCATCAATAATTCATAAATATTGCCTGTACCTGCCTACTTTTTGAAAACGTTTTAGCCTTCAAAGCCTTCATGACAAGTATGGGGTGGTTTTTCTCGTACTACGTGATCCCAAGTGGCTCATGGACTTGAGTTTTCTTGTTGACATGGCACAGGAGCTGTATGTACTCTGCAAGAAGTGACAAGATCAGGGGTAGCTTGTCAGTGTTGCTTATGACTATGTCGTGGCAATCGGCACAATACTTGTGTTATGGTTCTTTGAGAAACCTCTGCCATTTCCCTAAAATGAAAAGTACTCATGGATTCAGGAACACCATTCAATAGATAGTGAGTATAATGATGCCATTGCAAAACTACAGAAAGAATCTGATCACATTTTTTTAAACTTCAAAACACACAGAGCCACTTTTCATTTTTTCGCTGACCCTTTCTCTTTTAATTCCCTCTTCCCACACCCCACTTGCGCTTCAAATGGAGTTGATTAAACTGCAGTGCAGTTCTAAGTTCAGGGAATGAATGGAGAAACAGACAAGCATTTACAATTTATGAGAGCATTGCCCTCCACCTTCGATGAGATTTCCAGGTTTCTCAAAGCGGATCATTTGCTTTTTTTTGGAGTACCTATCTTTCTGAAAAGCTCTTTTCCAACTATGAAATTTAACAAGTCAAAGTTCAGGGAGAATTTTACTGATGAGCATTTTCAAGCTATACTGAGGTTCTCAGTTTCTTCCTCACTCAAGCCAAATGTTGCTCAGCTTTGTAAGAAGAAGCGCTGTCAGGTCTCTTGCAACTAGGAATAGGGGGAAGAAAGTGAAGCCTAGTTCTTGAGAACCCTTATGTTTTATTTTGTTATTAATAAAGGTTTAGCAGATTGTACCAGTTGTACTTTATTGAATTTGTAATCACTTTTTTTCCCCTTGATGCGGCCCAGTCTCACTCAGATTCTACCTCCTACAGCCCCCGGATGATTTGAGTTTGAGACCCCTGATCTATATATTTATTATTTATTTTAACTTTATTTCATTTATAAATTTACAATTTAAAAATATTTAAGATTAGTAAATTTTTAAATAAAAATAATGTTATTGCAAATCTGTAAGTAATTTTAAGTTGTCAACAGAAAAATATATAAATAGGCCTAAACTGTAGCGCCTACTATACTATACTATGAGACTATGACTATTACTGTAACTATAAGGTATTATAAAGGCTACCATTACTGAATAGTTAATATTAATTTTATTTGCACTCTACGATAGACATGTCATTAATATCTTTACTAATCATAGAAACTTATTTTTACTGATAGCTATTTAGGCTACTTATATGTAATTCTTTAATTAAATACAAAAATGAAATTGTTCCAATTTAACTGCAGCAATAAACGCATCTTTTGGTGAACTCGTAAATGAAATATGCTAATTTTACCTCAAGTGTTAATTAAACTCGAACTCGGTGTGTTCGACGTATCGCCACCGTATACGTAGTACCGCGGTCTCATTTGTATGGTGGAGGCATGTTATTGTTATGCATTGATCAAAGCACGTTTGGGTACCCACGTTTGTATATCTTGGCTTGGATCGCTGCAAATAACAAATAAATGTTCATTTGAGTCACCCGTTAACAAAAAATATCATGAATATGACGGACCGTACCCTTATAATGTAAGTTACATTTACATTTGTGAGATTCGTCAATTTTGAGATGGAAATCTTATAACTTATACGACGGCCTGCAGTGACTGTCAGACTGTTGTTAGTAGTGTTAGTGACAGAGAGACAGTCACTACACTCATTTTACTTTTAGTTTTAGGCACTTCTTGTTGTGTGTCATTGTGTAGGTATGTGTTACTTTTTCCCGATTGTGCAGTTCTATCAGTAGGCCTAGCTTGTCAATATTTTTAATTCAGTTTTTGACCCTCATAGTCATAGTATAGTCAACAAAGGCAAAGGACACACTGACACTGGTACAGAAACTTGTTCTGAAGAGCTCATTTTGTAATTTTTACCTTTACTACACACCTCATTTTTCCAGTTTTGTCATAATAGAATTTTTTAAACTCCAAGAAAATGTTTCTGCTAAGTTTAAATTTTAACTTACTCTAGAGCAGATCATGCCACGTCCCAAAACATGATACCCACAGACAGTTATATTAATTATTCAAAGTGGCTATTCGATTCGGACCCCACTACCAGAAGCGAGAGGTTGGGATTAAAAAATGTTTAAAATATTATAATTTGGTTTATAAGATAAAATTTGGTATCAAATGGAAGATAATTGAATGGACTGTCACTATATGTTATTGTTTTTAAACTTAATTCTTCAGTTTAACTAAAATAAACCACCACAAATGATATCCAAATAGCATTTAGTCTAAATGGATCCGGACATGCATCGCCGCTATTCGGACCCGGGTCCCTTGAGACTAAATTCTATTCGGATGTCATTTGTGGTAGTTTATTTTAGTTAAACTGAAGAATTAAGTTTATAAACATATAGTCCATTCAATTAACTTTCATTTGATACCAAGTTTTGTCATACAAACCCTACAATAATATTTTTAATATTTTTTAATCCCAACCTCTCGCTTCTGGTAGTGGGGTCCGAATAGCCGCATCCTTAATTATTATTCACTCATTTAGTATGATTTAGGGATTAATAAGCTAATTTTTAATTTGTCTTTACATCATTTTCAGATTTTGATAAGGATATCATGGGTGTAAATGTCATTGCACTGGTAGTCCTTGTAGTCTTCTACCTTGCTATCCTTGTGGTTGGTTTGGTGGCAGCATGGAAAGTCAAAGTGAAAGGAAAGGAGACAGGGGTTACTGGAGGAATGGAAACGTCATTGGTAGCTGGAAGAGACCTGAAAACCATTGTTGGTATTTTCACAATGATAGGTAAGTCTTCAACAGGCTATTGTCATTAACTATTGCATAGGTACTCATACATTTTCTTGGCTTGCTCAATACCAGGACATCTCAGTTAAGAGGCTATATGAACTAGGTCATGGGAGATTCTATTATAGCATGCAGTGAAAACTTAAATTTTTCAAAAGACACTTAGCCTTTAAGCCTTTAGCCTATTATTATTCAAGCCTATTTTTAAAAAAATAATAATAATTTTGAAACACTCTCCAGAGGTGTAGCTAAGGGGGGCAGAAGGGACAGATTTCCAGACACAAGACTATTGGGAGCGCTAAAATGGGCTTTGATGTTATTTTATTGATAAAAATAATGTGTTTTAAATTTGAGGATTGGGTTGTAATAATGAATCTTGTCCCAGGGCTTCAAATACTCAAGCTATGCCTCTGACAGTCTTTTATTTAATATCCTGGTACATTATTGGTTAAACTGAGGTGATATGACTGCTAGAAATGTTAATAAATGTTTTGTTAAGTCAACATTTGATTTTTGGAATAAAATCTATAATCTATGGTTGATTCATAGTTATGGAAAACTGTTTAAAGTCAGTTGCCTGAAGCAATGTTAAAAAGATTTGGCTTAAAGGAAACTGTTTTTGATTTCTTCAGCTACAACTGTTGGTGGAGGCTATATAAATGGAACAGCGGAAAGTGTGGCAAAAGATGGCATTGCCTGGACACTGGCTCCTATTGGCATTTTTATTGGGCTGAACTTAGGTATATTTAATTTTATGAGTAAACAAGTGGGACATTTTTAAACAATAATAGAACTAATGAACCTTTTGCAGTGATTTAAGAATAAGATAGTTGTAAAGGAAGTACAGAATTTTAATTTTATGATCTCTTTTCATTTCTTCAAGGGGGTGCTGTCTATGCCCGCAGAATGCGTGAACGGGAGTACTTGACAATGCTTGATCCATTCCAGAAACATTATGGCAACACTGTGACCATTCTGATTTACCTGGCCAGCCTAATGGGAGATCTGTTGTGGAGTGCTTCGATTCTTAACGCGTTGGGTCTGTTGAATAATTTCTAACATTAATCTTTAAATGAGATTTAGCTTTAGACTAACATGATAAGCAAATAACCAAGGGGCCTCATTTAATTAATCTAAGTGTCAAAGGTTATACACTAGAAACTCTTACAATTAGGAAAGGTCAAAAACTTTAGTAGCTTTTAGAGAATATTATTTTTATTTATCTGTTTGGCAATATTTAGGTTAAAGCATATAGGTGAAGAACAAATTTTGATCTTTATCTAATGTTGAATTTAAACGACATATCACATAATTTATTTTTAGTTCCAATTTGTATTAAACTTGTAAATACTCTTGTCAAGAGGAAGCATAATGTAATATGTTCATGTCCTCCAACATATTCAGGTAATTACATTGTAAACTTGCAACTGCACCAATTACAGGTACCACCCTCAGTGTCATAGCAGACATACAGCTCTACGTCGCAGTAATAATGTCCGGCTCGGTGACCATCATCTATACCATGATTGGGAGCATGATAGCTGTGGCTTATACAGACATTTTACAGCTGTTTTTCATACTGGTCGGCCTGGTAAGAAAAATGTATTCTTCAGTGTATGAAAAGATATTGCTCAGTCTGGTTCGCTTTGTACTGTCACGTTCTTTCATTTCAAACTTCAGCATACCTAGTCCAAGTCCAACTATTTCACTCAAGGGTGGTAAGTTTAGCCATTTTAAATTTTAATATTTGCATGTGGCGTAGCCTTTTGTAGGTAATTTTAAAAAAAAATGATTTTAGTTAAAATTATAGATTGTCAGAATCAATGCTTTTTTGTCCAGGGAGTTTCCATAAAGTTCATATGCACTGATGTCTTGGTGTATTAAGCGGAAATCATATATATTTATTGTTAGATATATAACACTCTCTGTTTTTATAGGTCACCTGCCTTCCATTCATATTTACCAATGACAAGATTGGTGATCTGGGGGCTAGTAAGGAGATCTGGATTGGAAAAGTGGACACCAGCCTTTGGGGTATCTGGGTGGATCTGTTCATTGCTATGGTAAAGAACTGCATTGATTTCCCCTTACTGTTACATAACTTATCTGGCATATCAAAAATTGTTGGGGTTTATTTAAAAGCTTTTTAAAAAAAATAATTTGTGAGTTGCATAGTTTGGTGATGCCTTTAAAAGTAAATATACTCTTAATATTTAAAAAAAAAAAAATTATAAAATATTTTTATTGTATAGTTCTGATAATTCATTTTTGTTAAACAAAATATTTAAGTGACTCTTCCATAAATTTTATGCAGAATCAATAATTGGGGCTTGCCTAGTGTGACATTGGTATTCATACATCTGTATGTACACAAGAATATTCTATACCAGCTCCAGAAAAGAAATAATGGTTAATGTTCATTTGTGTTACATTATGATGTTGTACCGGCATATATTGATTTTTGAATCCATTTTCTACTTGTTGGAAGAACAAGAGGTCAACCATAGCCGTTCCAAACGTGAACAAATTTTGAACACTTTCAGACACTAGGTACCATACCCTGGCAGTCCTATTTCCAGAGAGTTCTCTCCGTCAGAACTGCCTTTGAAGCCCAGATACTGTCATTTGTTGGGGCGTTCGGTGCTGTTGTGTTGGTGGTGCCTTCGGTATTAATAGGAATAGCAGGGGCAAGTGCAGGTAAAACGGCTTATAAAATTATTATCAACTTGTTAATAGTCCTTTTTTTTCTAACCTCACTTCAATTCTAAGGACATAAGTAATTTGTTAACAGTACTTCAATTCTAAGTACATGAATAAAATTTTTAATTGTTTTTCATTTCTAAGTACATAAGTAGACATCAGGAATGATTTATTCGAGGGCCAAGAAAATGATCCCCAGTTCAATAAAGCCTCCATTGATTAGACGTCACTCAGATGTGCATTTATGTTCCTTGGTGGCTCAGGCTCCAATGGTAGATACATGGAAATAAATTATGAATTTGAGTTAGGAAGTCTTGAAATATATTTTTTTAACACATGCTTTGAATCTGATCCTTTTTCATTCTGGTCATCTTTCATTTGAGTCTACGCCATATATAAGTTGCTGTACAGTCTTACTGTATGCCAGCATTGTCATTCCGAATGCTGTTAATGTCATTGAGACATGGAGAAGAACAAAGATACTGTACAGTGACATACAAAGGCTTTTGTGTCTAAAAAAAATATTTTTTAACAAGTTTAAAATTGTTAAGTAAATCAGATATCTGTTTCTTTATTAAAAAAATTCTGAAATGAATCTGTACAAAGTAGTAAGAAATATATTTTCAAAGTAAAAAATATCATTTGTTTGGATGAATATCATGAGAATGACGCTGGTCCATAAAGAATGATACTGTACTTACAAGTGAAGAACACATACACAAAATAGCACTGAAAGAGAAAATGTAATAGTGTCATTTTCCTAGAAATCCTAGATCCTTGACAATGTAATATTTTATTAAAAAATCACATTACGGATGAAATAATATGTGATCATTTTCAAGTGCCATGTCTTGAAACAAGACTATGTGACATCATGGGTTAAGTCCAGAATAAGTAACTTTCTTTGATCTGAGCTCAGTTATCATCTACCGCTACCATTTTATGATTCTTATCTCTAGACTGGAATAGCACATCATTAGGGGAATCCCCAATAGGCACCAACAGATCAAGTCTTGTTTTACCTCTTGTCATTCATGAGTTCACTCCCTTTGCAGTTTCTGTTCTTGGTAAGTCAATAAAAAAAATACACTTATATTAGCAATGTTAGGGGACTTTGGATAGAAAATCAGCTGTAAAAGAGCTTGCATCATTGATATCACAACTTTATGCCTAATAAATTAATTTAAATTTGATGAAATTTAAATTGAATGATTTACTATTACAATGTTTAAAAACTGATATTAGATTGCAGTTATTTTATTAAGTAGTTCCTCTAATTAGTATTTCAAACTTAAAGTTTTAGTTTCACAAAAGTTAAGTAAATAAATTAATTGCTGTTTAGTTTTCGAACCTAAAAATAATTTCAAAGTCAGGGCTTGTGTATTTGAAAGTTCCTTTCAATTTCTAATTGATATTGTTGTACTTAACAATACTCTGTTATAATTGTAGGCCTTGGAGCCATATCAGCCGCGGTGATGTCATCCATGGACAGTGCCGTGCTGGGCACGAGCTCAATGTTCACTCACAACATTTACAGAGAGATGCTGAGGAGAAAGGCCAGTAAGAAAGAGCTGAAGATCATTCACGTCAGCGCCGTTATTTTCTTCGGCTGCGCTTGCATGTTCATCGCCCTGTCGTCGAGCGTCATCTACGGTATGTTCATCCTTGCAGCAGATTTTGTCTTCGTCATCATATTCCCGCAGCTCACCGCCATCTTATATGTCCCACATTTAACCAACACCATCGGTGCGGTGTGTGGGTTTGTGGTCGGACTGCTGCTACGGCTTGGTGCAGGGGATGACATTTTAAGGATGCCGGTGTGGATTTATTACCCCTTCTACGATGAGGTCCTGGGGCAGTTGTTTCCATTCAGAACTTTTGCCATGCTGATGTCGCTCTTCACAGTCTTGATCGTGACATTCTTAACGAGGCTGGAGTTTGTCAGGAGAATATTTAAAAAGTGTGAGAATGACTCTGATGAGGTGGAGCTCACGGGGCATCTGATGATGAACAAGACACAGGAAGAATCCACAGACTCACGGCAGGAAAAAGCTAAATTTAGCCGAACAATTCTGGTGGAGAGCCCAAAACAACAGGACTCAGGGGATCACCTAACACAGAGGAAGCGAGATGCTAAAACCGCTGAGGAGGATTTTGTGTCCAATGGAACATATAAGAAGATAGACACATGAGCGGTTGTGTGGGACACATGGGAGGTTGCATGGGACAGAATTTATTTATGGTGGGTGGGGGGGGGGGCATCTGTTCCAGGTGAAAGCTTGTATCTTTCTTGTTGATAATATTTACAAGTTGTGTGACCATTTATAATTGTTCCAAATTGTCTAACTCTAACAAGCATTCCCAGTTTTTAATGCTGCATTGAATCATTGCACGCACAAGGGCATAAGCGTCGGTGTGCTTCAAATTATTTTAGCAACGGGTTCTACAGGTCGCTGCTGAGCCTCTTAAGAGTTTGTTACCTAACCCTTTATTCAGAAATTTCATATGATCTAAATTAAATTATATGTGCAGATTTATGAACAAAATGGCATCAAAATCCTCTCGGTGCTCTATGAGTTTCTCAACAAAACACAATGAGAACATTTAAGTTCCACTGTTGTTTATGAGAAATTTAGAAGTGGTGATGAAAGTTGCACAAAGAAAAAGCATGGATAATTTATTTTTCGAGTTTTTCACCTGCTACGAGGACTTTATAGTCTCATGTTTATTGTCCTCATAAATGAAGACAAGCGTATGAATTATGTACAAACGTTTTAAAGTTGGAACATTGGTATGAAGCAAAGTTATTTTCTATTACCATCTATTTGTTCCTAGCTTATGAAATAATTCTAATTTATTATGAAAATAGTAATGACAGTTAAAAAATATTTTCTAATACAAAGATCTAGCTATATGTGAATTAATTATTGTTAATAATATGTATTCAATTAAAAATTAGAATTTTCTGTATCTATAAGAGTGATAATATGTGGCTTCTATCATTGGACTGTTTTTATCCTTCATCTCACTAAATCCCATTTATTTATTATTTATTTATTTTGGCTACTTCTTAATTATTCTTAAAATGTTCGTATTGATTTGCTTATCTTGCAAATTAAGTATTTTTATTAGTCTTCATTCTTTAAATTTTTACAATAGCTTTTCTAGGAATTTTTTTCAGGGACTTGGAATTTGGTTTATATTAATGTATTTTTTTTAAAATGCATATCATTTGAATTTATTTTACTGTCAAGTGTATTTTTTATTGATAAGAAGCACTAGTTGCTGTGAGCTGTGAATCAAAGAAGCATTCCTGATGAAAGTCAAATCATCAGTGGCATGTTACCTTTGACCTTTTTTTGTTTGTGTTAAATTTCTTTATTTCCTTACATTTTATTAGGACAGTTAAAAGTATTCTACAAGAAATATAAAAACTATTACTGATAATGTTTTTCTTTTTTCAGCACGGGGTATTCAGTGAAACATAGTAAAATTTAAGCAAAATTTGAAACAATCTATTGAGTGCTGGTTTTATTTTTCTTATTTTTTGCAAGTGAATAGTTATTTGTAATTGGTCCAGTTCCTTCTTCGTGCCCTTATATCATATCTATTTTTTTTCTTACTTTTTTTACTGGTAGAGTGACAATATTTTTAAAGTCATTTAACTTTGTATTAACTCACATGTTAACTCATTTATTAACTCATGTCTTAACTCAAGACACAAGTGATGAGAAATTTTGAGTCACTCAATAAAACACATATCGTTATATTACTTAACTTTTGCTTGACCTTATTTTACATTGATAGAAGTGCTTGAGAAGAATTTTCTAATACTGGTGAAGAATATATAGATTTTAAAAATATTTTTTTACTAAAGCTCTTAGAATACTGCATACAATTATTTCATCCTATCACTTCACAGGGTTTCCATCATCTCCATTCTATTATATTTTTCTTCAGACTCTATGTCATGTCATGCCAAAGCATTTCAAAACTTTCTGACAGAAATCACAGGTAAAAAAAAATCCTTGCACTTCATAAGTCTTGAAAAGGGTTTGTTGTCTGTTCATCTAGGTAGAGGCTTACAACTGCGGACATTATTAACTGGGGGGCACATTTTTTTTTCTATTTCCATTAATTCCTTCAGTTGAGCTCTATGTTTATTTAATTTTTAAAATAAAATTGAAACCATTAGATGATGGAGTATTGATAAAGGAGGTTTTTTTTAAAAAAACCAAAACAAAGTCATGGCTGAAGAAAGCAACCCCCTATGATATAATACGTGCCAGTCAAAGTTTTTATTTTGTTCATACTTCATGCAAACAATTAGGAATACATTTTATTCAAGTTCAGAAAAATTCTTATACGAAAAAAATGTTTTTCTGCTAATGTATCAATTATAAAGACTATTGGACTATATGTACTGATGCACTATATCCCTGAGAAAAATGACCAATGTTAAATGGCTTTCGTTTAAACCGGTGTAGATTGTTGCAACCTCAGGACTTGAAGATGTGGGTTTATTTTTTTTTTATTTTAAAAATTATGTCATCCAAATGTACACAGCGAATCCCTACAGTGCCACTTCGTTGGCCTTGTATTTATGTTACATATCAAGGTGCTGTGGAGTCATTAAACAACCTAATGCCAGTGATATATGAAACCCGATAATTTCAAAGTAAAATAAATTAAGTTTTAAATGTTTTTTTAATGACAACCTTGTGCAGTGTTAGAATAATATGAACACATACTGGCCAAATTATTAATGAAGCAGGGGCGGCCATCTGCTAATGACATCACTCTGTTTTGGCAGAATGGTTTACCCCCTCCCACCATTTAAAAAAAATTGTAATGCCATTTCGACATCCTCACAATACATCGTCAAAAATTTGTGACAACCCCCCCTCCGCCCTAATTTTTACATGTGTGACCTCATTTATGGGTGGCCCATTAGATATTTAACAAATGTTCATGAAATCAGTTCATGGATATTTTTCTGGCTTGTCAGACATGAGCTGGCTACTTGTAATTTTACTGCAACCTTTTATACTTATTGCAGACAAATGTCAGTAAATTTACTCTTGATGCATTGGTATTTTTTTTTTAAACGTGGCCGTTATTGTTAGTTCACTTTTCATTGTAAATCCTTTGCTTTCTTTTCTATGATAAAAATGTTTTTATATATGTTTGACTTTTTGTCCTTTTAAAAGATCGTCTCGTAGCAAAAAAGCTATCCACATCAATGCTCATTTAATACGGGTCAAGACTAGTTCTTGAGATCTGCCCGTTCGACACAGTGGACTCGTGGTGCAGCAATCAGGCCATGACATTGTAGAGCTGCAACCCCAACCCCTTTTAGACCATGTTGGATGTGAGCGACAGAGTGCCTGTGCTCAGTTTATAACAACAGTTAATAGTCTGCGGCTGCCATCACTTTAAGAACAAGATCTCAGACCAGCCACAGGTCTTCCAACTTGCCGTGGATGGATACATTTAAGACTTTGGCTCTCCCAATAGAAAGTGTTTCATTTAAGAAACTAAACATTTATATTTTTTAATTCTTTTTTAAAGTCTAGGGTGAAAATTGCTAGAAAAAAATCATTGTAGTTAAGATTAAAAATATAATAGACATTACATTTTAATTTGCCACTGTGGATATGGTAAAGTTTTAGCTGTCACTCAAACAGAACATTTCAATGCAACATGCAAACATTTTTGATGTGTATAACATATTTTAACTCTGTTGACTTGGAGAATATGAGAATCACTGGAACAACAACATCTTAACATTATTTATTTTATTAAGATGAATTGAAGCAGTGAATTCAGTGGATTTACAGTGAATTTATTTGTTTTACATGTTAAACTTCGGATCCAATTGTTTCGATAATTTCTTTCAGATTGTTTTTGTTTATTTTAATAAAAAATAGGACATCTGCCTCTACTTATGTTTTAGTTGACATCTAACATTCTTTATATCAATTTCTTCTTTTTTTATTTTAATAAAAGTGTGACTTAAGATACATTTTATTTATAGGTATATCGTATTATAAAGTTACGGAAACTTGACATTTTGCAGCAAGCAAAAGATATGGAGATATGGATTTGGAAAATAGACAATTAAAATTATGCCAATATGATGGATGGAATTTTTTTTTAAATTAATTTTTTTTTATAAATCTATATTTAGTTGGATAGACTAGCTGATTTAATGTGTATTTTAAAGATCCTTGTGTTATTTGGTGGTGATGAAATGTCTCCTAGTTAAATTGCCAGTGCTTTACAGTCAGAGTTTTATACTTTGTCATGAAATATTCTTTAAGTCAATCAAGTCCTGGTGATAGAAATGCTACACTTAAATAGGTATTTGCTTCATGGGGAACTTATTTAGTATGAATTGGGGGAGCTTATTCGGTATGAATTGGGGAGCTTATTTGGTATGAATTGGGGAAGCTTATTCGGTATGGATTTGGGAAGCTTATTTGGTATGAATTGGGGGGAGCTTATTCTGTATGAATTGGGGGAGCTTATTCGGTATGAATGAGCTTCTTCTTGGACAAATTGTCAACCATACAGATGAATCAAAACACCACTGCTGGGAGCAAGGTAATATCAAATTGTTGCTTTATATTTATTTCACAGAATAGATTGTATCTACTTAGAGTAGAGTTATGCAAGGCATAAGGTGTTTTCCCACATCAAGATTAAGCCTGGATACTTGAGAAGTCAAATCTTCTATATCGTCCCATTATTTTATTGTAGGGCTATTTACTGCATAAGAAGTGATGAGGGAGATGTGGCATTAATACTAAGACCTCCAAGGGGCGATGATAGATCATGATGCCCATTACCTGACGTTGACTACAAAAAATAAAATTTCCCGGGCTTAAAATAAATTGTGAGGCATTATATTTTTAAATAAAAATCAATGTGTACACCGGGAAGTAGGGCAGCGTCCTTACAGAGATCGTCAAGACAAAGTCGTGGTCTCAGGCATAGTCATGGTTTCATAGTCGTGGTCTCAGAGATTGTCGTGGTTTTAGACAGTGTTTTGGTTTTAGACAGTGTAGCACCAGGTTCTTTGTTTGTTGTGGAAGTACCGGACTATATTTTGATGTCGGACGAGGGTCAGAAGTTAAATTGGCCCGTTGGAGATAGACTTAGAATTATGGTACTATCAGATTTTTTTAATGATTGAGGCTCAGACTAATCAGCCGGACGTAACAAGAAATGTGGCGCTATG